ATAAAATCACTCTTGGCCGTCGTCGTTGTCGTTTGCGCTGCTGCTGTTGCTGCTTGGCGTAGAGCAGAGCACACGCAGGGATCAACCAATTAGCGCATACAACCGAGCGCACGCGCTACTATATATATACACCACGCACACAGCACGCACTCGACTTTATTTATCGTGTCGTTTTTCCAGTCCAATTATTTCCAGAAAGTGCATATAAACTGGAAATGGCCATGAGAGAGGGAGATAGGATTATATCGAATTTTCCTTTTGCCATACGCGGATGGAGAGGAGCTTTATATATTTTCGGTTTATCACTCGCGTACGCACATATACATATACCCATCGTAAAATCGGAGCGGGAAATATTCAACTAGCCGATGACGATTTTCTTGCGTCATTTTTGTGCATCGTCGTCATCATGGCTAAAACGGAACGTACAGGGTGTACATAACTTTTAGACTTTCGAGCATAGAGTTCCGCGTGCGTACGCATAACATGAACTCGATCGAAACACGACTGTGAGTAAATAATTAATAATACAGGGGCGGCTCGGGACTTTTTGTTTCGCTATATTGTATGGCACTAATCGACTCGCGCGATTTCGGGGAAATTAAATTAATAAACGAAGCGCTCCTCCCGCGCGTAATGTCGAGTACAATATTCGTTTTCGGATTCGTAAAAAGTGATGCCCGACTCACGGCCAACTGCGGCCAAAACTCATATAATTAGAGAGAGAGTTCGTGTACTTTATGTATGTGTGTGTGTGTGTATTTGGACGTGGTGCGTGCGCGTCGTTTCCCTGAAATTACAAGCAAATAAAAGCAATCAACATGGCAAAAAGCGGCAGCAGCAGCACACGCGTGCGTGCGTGCCATTGTCCTTTGTCGTCGAGTCGAGTCTCGACAAACGCGCTTTAGCAAACAAATGCGAACTTATGTTGTACAAAACGAGCGACAACTCCCATTATTATTACATATCCTCCTTAAATCTGTGTACACACACGTAAAGCTGCTGCACACACATGTGTATATCAAAGGCATCTCGTGCATGCAGTATACGAGCTGCGCCATATCTACAGTCGTCCGGAGCGTCCCTGTAATTGTGTGCGCGGGTGGACAGCACAGTGCCAGCAGTGGCAGCAGCTACATCAAGGTCGGCGAAGGTCAGGGTGCGCTTCAACACACTCATGGAAACAAACGGCTGGGCAACAATTACGCGTATAGTATATATACGACGAAGCTCACCTCGAGGGCAAATGCGTGCGTGTGTCGTCATCGTCGCAGTCGTCGCAGTCGGTAGCATAAGCAAGAGCAGCAGCAACAGTAGAAACGGTGGAAAATAACGAGAGAGAGAAAGAGAGAGAGCGAGTGACGAGCCTCGAGCGACAGTCGGCAAGCTTTTCCCACGAAATATTGCGAAATATCTCCCTCTCTTTGCCGCTGCTGCTGCTACTGCTGCGGATGCATATATGCACAAACGTCAAGTATTGTGCAGCTTGCACACGCACGCTGTACATAAGAGTATACGGGGAAGGGGTTGCCTGTCAATATTCGTCCGTATTATAAACGTTTAAAGGGTGAGCGCGCCCGACTGCGCTATAGCAGCTTCGTATTGTATATTATATCTATATATCTGCGTGTGTATAGAAATATTTTAGGGCTTACTGCTAAACTGACGTTTTTCCGATTGTGTGCAGCCTGCTAGAAAAGAGGAGTATATGATTGACATGTATACATTCTTGATATTGTTTTCAAGATGTAAATGTAGCGATAGGCGGAAAAGTGTTCCTATGTTGCGTTGGCGTACCACGATTTTTTATTCTTTTTGTTTATTTTTTTTTCATATCCTGTTTTTACACGTGCAGCTCGTACGCGCGCTCGAAATCGTCAAGATTTATATTTTAAAAGTATAATGTCAAAATCTGGAGCTGCCGTACACGAACGCGTACATGTATACGTACACACATCCCTTGAGCTGTAAATCACTGGCGATATATATGGGTAAGGCTCAGAATTTTTTAAATAAACCTGCGCTCGTATGTCACCGATCTTGACGCGCTTTTGGTATGTTATAGTACATGGTAAAAAAGACCCAAAACCAAAATTTTAGACCCCCTCCCCCCTCCTACCCCCCACTTCCGGTATAAACGTCCATTTTCTATCTATATTTTTTCTGAAGGCCTGAAGCAATTAAAAAATCTGAAAAAATTCACAAAAATACTTTTCAACAATCCAAACAACCTTGAATTTTTTCAGATTTTTTGAGTGCTTCAGGCCTTCAGAAAAAATTATTGAAAATTTTGAAAATTCATATACGGCGCTACGATGCAATACAAAGCCCGATCTTTTTTTCCACTTATTTTTGACATCAAAATACATAACCTCAAATTTTTTCAGATTTTTTCAGACAGAGCGCTGGCGGTTTTTAGCCGAAAAACGCCCTTTTTTTACGAAAATAATTTTTTTAGGGCGATATGAAGCTTTAAAAAATCTGGAAAAATTTTTTTCTTGTTTTTCAGGTCAAAATACATAACCTTGAATTTTTTCAAATTTTTTAATTGAAGGCGATAGCATCTATGGCTAAAAAACGCTATTTTTATGAAAAACGGTTCCTGGAACCCAGAGGTTCCGGTAAAAAAATTTGAAAAAATTTTTTTCGAATTCCTTGTCAAATTTTAATAAATTTTGACCGTCGCAAAATTTCGATTGGAGCTTCCTAGCTCATTCTAGAGCATAACAAAGATTCGAGCGAAATTCTGAAGAAATTTGAAAAATAATGTAATTGTGATGAACGTCTTCAGAATTTCGCTCGAATCTTTGTTATGCTCTAGAATGAGCTAGGAAGCTCCAATCGAAATTTTGCGACGGTCAAAATTTATTAAAATTTGACAAGGAATTCGAAAAAAATTTTTTCAAATTTTTTTACCGGAACCTCTGGGTTCCAGGAACCGTTTTTCATAAAAATAGCGTTTTTTAGCCATAGATGCTATCGCCTTCAATTAAAAAATTTGAAAAAATTCAAGGTTATGTATTTTGACCTGAAAAACAAGAAAAAAATTTTTCCAGATTTTTTAAAGCTTCATATCGCCCTAAAAAAATTATTTTCGTAAAAAAAGGGCGTTTTTCGGCTAAAAACCGCCAGCGCTCTGTCTGAAAAAATCTGAAAAAATTTGAGGTTATGTATTTTGATGTCAAAAATAAGTGGAAAAAAAGATCGGGCTTTGTATTGCATCGTAGCGCCGTATATGAATTTTCAAAATTTTCAATAATTTTTTCTGAAGGCCTGAAGCACTCAAAAAATCTGAAAAAATTCAAGGTTGTTTGGATTGTTGAAAAGTATTTTTGTGAATTTTTTCAGATTTTTTAATTGCTTCAGGCCTTCAGAAAAAATATAGATAGAAAATGGACGTTTATACCGGAAGTGGGGGGTAGGAGGGGGGAGGGGGTCTAAAATTTTGGTTTTGGGTCTTTTTTACCATGTACTATAACATACCAAAAGCGCGTCAAGATCGGTGACATACGAGCGCAGGTTTATTTAAAAAATTCTGAGCCTTACCCATATGCATAATATACGCGGCAACTCCTGCGGCAGCAGCGAGAAGCTCCATATACTACGTACGATCGTCGATCCGAGAGCAGCGAGTGAAAACCCGTAGGCGATCCGGCCGCGCGTGCGATGAACAACAAAAAGAGGAACAGCAGCAGCAGCGGCGGCGGCACTGCGCCACACACGCGCTGGGCAATACACGGCGTCTGTATACGTAGAGGCCGCACATAATACATCTGGGCAGCAGAGGGTCAAAGCTAGAGAGATAATACGCTGCACGAGGGGGGTACGCGCAGAGCACATCCAGCATATACACACATTTAAGCTTGCATAGTAATGCTCGATTCGGGGGTGTAGCCGTGTTTAGGTATAAACGCGTATACTCCCATATTAGACTGCACTTGTGTGTGTGTATGTATGCATGCGTCGAACCGAGCGTGTACTTACATTGGCGCTCGGTATGCGCAATTCAGCTCTCTTTACTATGTTGTCTTCCAATTAACGCCATTGTCGTGTACTGCAGAGGAACGAGAGAGAGAGCTCGATATACATACACACAACACACAGGCGCGTATTCGCCCATTTAGGCATTGGCTTCTCACTCGCTTGATGTTCGGGATAAATCAAAGACTCGATCGACTCGTATACCTCTACATACGTGGGCACAGGGCGAATTGCTGCACATAGCTATAGATGGACGCACCGCGTTTATATGCTGTTTGTTGCACCGCTGCTAGCCGCACGCGAATCTATGGACCGGCAACGCCTTTGAGCTCTTGTGTGTGGCGGCGGCAGCGACTGTGCGGAAGGCAGCAAGATCATCGTCAGGCTCATTGGCAGCTCTAGGCTGCTGCTGCTGCTTTTCTGTGTGCCTCGTGTATGCAGCTTGACGTATACGGATAATATAATGTTGATGATGATGATCGGTTTATGTTATCCCGTCCGATATTCAAAGGGCGTGAGGCTGTGTGAGTGATTATTCGTTCGTTCATAAACTGACACACTGCGTAGTGCATTTGCCGATATCTATAGACAGTGACGTGTAAGGGGTAATTTCGCTCGAGACCGCGATAGACGGTGCGATGAAAAAACGCGAAATTGTCGCGAGACGAGTGCTAGGCAAACTTTGCCACTACTGCACGCGAAACTACAGCGTATACAATACACAAAACTCTGGGGTGCTCGCGAGCGACGTGTTTATTCAAAGGGCTAATTTTTATAGTCAGGTGTCCTCGACGACCATTTGATGAAACATTTATTTTGGCTGCGCTATTATTTCTGCGAGGCTTGTTTAACATTAGAATTGTATTGTCACATGTCTCATATTTTTTACTAGTACAGTTCTGTTGCTTTTTAATAACAACTACATAGTAAGATTAATAAAATTTAAAATTACAAATTTTACGTATTTGTGGTTCCAAAAAGTTCACAATTTAATAATGCCGTTTTATTCATTGTTTCAGTCACAAACGAATGCCAATTTCCAGCAGCGTGGAGCGGACGCTGGTTCATCCTGGGCAAGGAAGGACCCATTATAACCAACACATCGCACTTTCTCGACCGAACGTGCATCTCCAAAGTCGAGGATACGTATCTGACGCACGACGAAAAGTAAGCTCAAAGCAAAATAATGTTTATTTCATATGTTTTTCTGACCTCCAGCTGTACATAGCTAGCGAGCGCGATCGTTACGCCGGGCGCCGATCCTATCTCGCCGCATACACTGTATATAATACATTTTCACATTCTCCCAACGTTTCCTCCTCTCTTTCTTTCTCTCTCTCTCTCTAGCTGTGATCGTCATACTGTTGCGCGCCGCGAGCATGTGTCACAGTTTTCCGATCCATAGATTCGCTACATAAATATATATAGCTCGCTGTTAACGAGGAGAAAAATACAAACTTATCCGTTGCTACGATCACTCTTTGCAACGTATATGCTCTAAAAATGTTTCTCTATTTATGATTTCAGCCCTGAGACTGGTAGCTGTTACAGATGTATGATCTTCACCGAGAGGGACGTCAACGTTATTCAGTATCGTGAATGTGAGTCAATTTTCGTATTTACCTGCTCTATACTACTGTACGCCCGTTATCTGATTCATGCTGTAAAACTTGTGCGAAAAAAAAATTAATGATAAAAATAAATATAAACGAACGATTCTCTCGCCTGGGCCTTGTTTTACGACGACTACGACGACATTAATAATGTAAAACGCTAATCGAATGGCATCATTGAGCAAACATTCGGTGAGATACGACACGAGGTTCCTTGTTTTTTTTTGCTCGATGCTCAAATTCCATTTGTGCGCAGCTATTAGGCCGCGATGCCTCGTTCACATCGATATTTTATCCTCCGAACGACGATAAACGCGACGAAGAAAACTAAGCCTCGAGTTATAAAAATTTTTACAGCCGTTTTTAATCTTTTAATTTACTTTATGACTACCATTAGCCGGGCAGTCTGATTAATTTTTTTTGTCGTATCTCGCGCGCACACGAGAATGTCCAAAAAAGCGTTAGTTTTCAAATTCAACTCGCATCGAATGGTTTACCTTCGCTTATCTCCCCGACCAAAAAAAGGCATTAAAATATCGCGCATAAAATTCAATCCCTTCTCTTTTGGGGCTTTTACTCACTCGCGCGCCAGGATCTGCGCGCGAACCATACGCGCCTGGGTCAACAATAATTTACCTCTGTTTGGGCAATTATACACGTATTATGAATTAATATTCGTGTCGTTAAAAATTCATTAAGTCCATTTTTGCAATATATACGTAAGTTGTGTACACTTACGTGGAAAAAATGTATAATAAATATTCTATAAATATAAGAAAAATTACTATAATAATTAATGCAAGTGAGATATCTTAGAATTGCGACGTTTTTTGCTTATATAAAAATAATTTTTACAATAATTTTCTTCAACATATTAAAATCACATATGGTTAACTTCAATTTATTAAAATAAAAATTCCTATTTACTACAATAGTAAAAATAGTGTTATGCACTTCTGCTAGATGGCGCATTAGAAACCCGCAAGTTGCAAAAAACCAAATTGGTTTTATAAATATCAGAAAAATTAAATTTATGATTCTTGATCTTTATTAATTTTTTTTAAATCCATGTTACTATTCAGTCTTGTCTTAAATTGTATTATTATTCAAGATATAAATAAGCTTGTCCTCACTTATCCTCACTTAAAATAATGATGGACCTGAAAGTGAAACCAATCTATTCGGCCTGTGATTGGTCGAGTTACTTATGCCTCGAGACGAAATGCAATAAAGTGACACCTACGGTCAAAATAGTAACTTTCTTAAAACCCTACTGAAAAATTAAAGCGCGCTAAGCGCGCCTGAAAGTTGCTAGTCTCGTAAAGAAGTAAACAATCGAACGATATCTTTTCACACATATATTCAGTGGACTCACACACAACAATTTTAATGTGTTCAAAAATTTGTTTGTATGTATTTGAGTGTTTCCCATACAGTGTCTCTTTATGTAACGTATCTGTGTATGGATATTTGCTTTATAATATGTCCAAGGTAGCGAATGCTTTGGCCATGTGTTGCGGAATGAAACTTGTCAGCAATATGGAATCGGACGTCCGGGCTGCGGTTCGCACACATATATACACGTACACATATAATATACCTGGCCTTAGATATTGCACCGGTTTGCACGTCGCACATTTATACACATGCATATGATATAGCGTAGTGTGGCGTGGAGATTCGCCACCATATAGTGGTCTTTATATACGTTCGTACGCAGCTCTCGCAGCAGCAGAAGCAGCATCATATAGCACACGGGCCCGCACATATATCCATTTCTATATAAGGTTTACGATGTATTTTACCTTCCATCAAATTGCTACCTCCCGTGAACGACGACGAGCGCGAGCGGCAGTATATTTGGCTCGAAAATTATTCGCTCGGAGAGACGTAAATTTACTCGCTCGACTGGAACGGCGAACTTTTCCTTAACTGAAAAATCACTGCGCGGTCGGTCGCGCTTATACGGCGAGTGATAAAATTGTTATTAAAATTGGATAGACGCTATATTATATTATATTATATTATATATTTGCTAGAAATCGTTGCGAGGACAGGTGCAGCGTGTATAATATATACTGGAGCTCCGGTGCCTAATGATATACATTCGATGAGTATCTCCGCTCGCTCTCAACGATTTATTTTTTTTTAATTACAATGGCAAAGTAATAGTAAAGCGAGTATCAACTGGTTTATCGCGTTTATCGCATTGGCCACGAGAGTCTGTATAATATGCAGAAAGCTCTTATCGGATATTAGATGACTTTGATGGTAATTGATCGGTAAATACTCGTTTTCGTACTCGTTAATAATGATTATCGTGATCCGATACGGCATTGACATATATCCGTACTTACGGATTGAGTAACCCATTGAGATATACATTCGATTGCAAAAATTCACTTGACACACTTTTTCGTTGTTTTGTTTTGTTCTCTATTTTGTTTGTATATCTCTCTCTTTTTTTCTCACCCGGCAAATCCGCACAAAGCACCTATAACACCTTTTGTGCCCAGAACGGAAAAAGCCATTTGCCCAGTGCCCGGGCTGTCCCAAGAATATACAACCAAACTCCATCAGGCACGGATAAATTTACGAAAAAAATCCATCAGCAGAAAGCCTCCCTCGATCTCTCTCTATCTGTATAATACTTACCAAATTAATTCCAATCTAATCCTCGTGTACATAGTGCAGCCGACAAAAAAAATCCGAACTCGACGAAATGAAAATGAAACAACGACGTGTAGCTCTCGATCGATAAACACGGCGTTGTAACGCGCACTCGCACACACAGTAGGCCTACACGCTCAATTGTGAAGCATTATGTGTTGTGCGCATGCATGCGCGCTATATGCAACGCACCGAAGAGAAAAAATATAAGTGCTCGTAATAATAATGCGCTGCGAGAAGCCCCCGTGAACTCGCGCCAACCAAATCGGAAAGGGGAGAAGCGCTCGGGCTAAGAATGTTGGCTTTCAATAATCCACACTAAAATGTTCTAGTTCTGTATCTCTGTTGGACGAGTGTGCGTGTCTCTCTCTCTCTCTGCAATGTGTAGTGGGTACCCCCTTCTGGTTAGCAAGATTCTCGCCATATGTCGACGTTAAACGCTTCAACTTTTTTTCCACGCTTAGTTTTTTTTATGCCTGCTACCGCTCCACTTCGTAATACAAGACCGATTGCCCTGAAATAGGTCGAAAGCGCGTTCACTTATTGATTGGTAATAAATTTTTTCCGCCTGGTTCTTTCCTCCCTCGCGAAAGTTCATATTAATTATTTATCGATACGTAATATTTTTATATGGCCGATTGAAATGAACATATTTTTTTATTCATCCCTCGCGCTAATTTTTCAAACAAAAAAAGCAAAGGTTGTTTCAAGCGTGGCGAAGCTTCGCTTGTATAAATATAGTAATCCGTCACGCCGCACTAGCATTTTATATATTCCATCCAGAGCTTTACGCAGCCAATACATTTCATTTTCTCGTTAAATTTTTCGCCTCCCCGCGCACGGGCGATCGCCGCAGCGGCCGCGGCAAACTGCGTTATGCATTCGAATTCAGATAAGCCGCCTCGACGTAAAACACGGGAAGGGTGGCTTATACTGCCACTACTGCTGCCTACGTGCGCCGCTCACGAATATATAGCAGCAGCAGCAGAAGCGATGCTCTAGCTCGGACACACAATGGACGTCAGTTTCGGTTACGTCATATAGAGCTACCTTAGCTGTCAGGACGCATTGTCAGCCCTCTCGAGGACCGGCGCGGCGACGGCGGACCTTCGCTCTATGTATAACGTACGCGCGCGGGCCGCAAAACTGGATTGCAATTGTCTTCGGGTGATGAGTTGCGTCCCTCTTCTGTTGACGTGTGTATAGGTAAACCGTGTGCATAGGTATATGTGTGTGTACACGGCGCGCACGGCTCGTTTAGTTTCGTATATATTCATGTTTTACGAGAGAGCCGAGAGCACGACGACGACTATGTGTACTATATGTTCGTGGCTTCTCCGTGTATAGTCGTGAATTTTCTTCTCTATTCACGGATGGATCGTGGAGTTTGGTGCCTTATTTGCATGATAATCGTTGCACGCGCGGCCTCGCGTATACGCATACGCGCTCTTACGGTGCGTGCGTATAATATTTGATAATAAAAAAAAAATTGACGTACGGAAAAATCGCTTCCTCTCGAGAGCGGACTGAAAAAAAAATGAAAAAAAAAAACAACAACAACCTCGCCCTCGGAGATTTTGCATATTTTCGACGAAATGTATATAGCTCGCGCACAGACAGCACAGACACGGGTATTTAGCTGCAGGCACGTCGAGGACATAATTATACGATTAAATCCAAGTAATATCAAGTGCATCGAGCCCGCGCGCTGCCTCACTGGCTATATTATAGAATATATTGGCCTCGAATCCTCGACGCGCTATATACCGCGCGCGCGGTAGACTACCCTGTTTGAATTCTCTCCTAATTCTGCCGTCTATATACAAATACAGATAGCCATCTATCAGTTATATAACGGATTCTATCCCATCTCATTCGCGTTTACTAAAGTATATACTATGTCTGTATATGTGTGTGAGCGTGTGTATACACGAGGATCAGAAATACCATTTTCCATTCGAGTGCACTTCAGAAGCTTTGCGTCCATGCACTCAAGAGAGAGAGAGAGAACCGAGAGAGAAACTACTGTGTGCTCTCTTCGCGTTCTCTCCTCCATATATATACGGTATAATAAAGCATCATCATATAGATATAGTAACTTCACACACACACATTGGCATGGGCCAGAGCTCGGCATGGTATATTTATGTGCAGGTGACAGGAGCGCGTAATCGTCTCCCGCGCGATTTCTTTCGCCAAAGACGACGACGACGGCGACGTAGCTCCTGTATACCTACGGTTCTATGAAATAATGCATAGCCAAGGAGAGATAGATCAAAGCAAAAACGGGATATCTTGGGCTCGAGTCTACGTATGTG